TGAAACGGAGACAATGCCAGCAAAGTTTTTCCATGCCCAAATGAACTTTTGTTGAGTCAAGCGCGAGAGAAAGAGTGTGTGTGTGCGTGTGTGTGTGTATTGTGTTGTGTGTACGTGAGTGTGTGTGAATGTGTGTGTATTATATGAGTCACATGTGTACAGCAGTCATAAACGTTACATTTGTTTTGTCTTGCTATACCCTGTAGATATTTAATATGGTTAAAAAAAAGGTTAATTTTCCCATAATCAATAGGTTTCGATTTCCAGCCTAAGTTTCTGTGAACTTAGCTCGGATACCTATTCAACGAAAAGGGCATTGATATGATTATAATGATCGATAACTTCACATTCCTCCAAAATCGATAAATATCGATGAGTAGTCAATGAAAATGGTATTTTTTTAATGTACAGCAGAGAGCGGAAACAACGCAGCTGCAGCATAAAGTGAGCAGCTTGCAGCGTGTTGTTTTTCTTCTATTACATCAGGTCGGAACTGGTTTAATAGGTAACTCTTAGTTGCGCACTCTTCACTAGAGCACTTTTACTTGTTTGTTGTCAATTTGCGACTCACTGACAAGCAGGCAGCGGCATATTCCGGGGTATTCCCCAAGCCGCGCCCAAAAGTAGGCAATAGAAATTCTCGGCACAGCAGAGACATTTCTTGAGAGAAGACAAGCATAATTACATGCTACAATGCAGGGAGAGTGTGTTTGTGTGTGTGTGTGTGTGTGTGTGCGTCTCATGTCTGCTGGTGTATTCAATATCAATTCATGTACATTTAATTACGCATGCCTGCGTCTTGTTTGCATGCCCCAGCACAAGCATGTGTGTGTGTGTGTGTGTGTTCCGTGTGTATTAGTCTGTTGTTTGTGCATATTTGATTACAGCCGGCAACAGCAAATGCCTGGAATCTAGCCTAATTAAAGTGTTCATCGCCAAGCCAAATAACTAGCAGCATGAGTCGCCAAAAGTCGTGTGGCACGATTTGGGGGCAGCTAGCGCTTGCTGCTGCCTCGACTCCTAAGTTTTGTGAAGCGGCAACTTTTTGGGCGCGCTCTTAAAAGCCTTGCGAGCCAGTTAGCCAGCATATTATTCAGTTATTAGGCAAATTGTTAAAAGCGATCAACTTTAAAGACGCGAATTTAACTTTTAATGCATTGCAAATTGTTTTGCAATTAACGTTGCGAGGTAAACTCCCGTTGCCAATGTTTTTGTTGTTGTTGCAGTTGTTGTTAAGTAATTTGCAAGCTTTTATTTTGTTTGGCTGCCTTAGAAATAACAGAAAGCAGGCAGCGAGAGATATCTTTTGGTTGCCGACAATTTAATACCCTTCCACATGTAAACTATCTTAAAAGGCAAATTTCAACAGATTATTCTTGGAAGAGCTACAACAAATTGAAGTTCGATGTTAATAATATATAGACATTGTATACATTTTTGCTGAGCTCGTTTATAATATCTTAAAAACGATTTATTATTTGAAAGAAGATCTTTATAATATAGTAGTTCGATTTTCATATAATATTGTTAATGCTAATTAAGACTCGTAGTTCAACAACTTTAGTTGAGCTATTTTGCAAAGAAAAATTCTTAGAGTCCTCAAATTGTCAATGTTTGACATAGGTTAAGTTTATAATTTACCTGTTTGTAGTCAGTTTGGAAAGTTATATTGAGAATTGAAAACTATTTTCTAGCATAAAGGACTGGTTGTGCCCATTGATATTATATGAGATAATGAGCTGAAGGCCTGGATGCTAGCGCTCTTTTGTTGTAATTTATTATAGTATTATTTATAGTATGAATGCATTATAGTTAATCTTAATAATATACGAGATAATAGTTATTATATTGAAGAAATACTGATATGATGGGAGGCTAATAAAGCTTTTAATTGAAGATATTGAATGTATGATATTGTAATCCGATCTGGCGGATTTTAACATATGTTCTGCCCGCAGAAAAATATTATAACATGTACAAAACAGATAGATACGCTTTTATAGCAACAAAAAGAGGTACAATATGCACTTTTAATGCTGATAAAAAATGTTTAAAAAAAACTCTGTTTACGCTCGCAAATGTCTGCTTCAGTGCGGCAACAAAATGTCGAAACCCTCTGCTAGGGTATTAAAAAAAAACTCTGCCAAGTTGTTGGGCAAAGTTTCTCGACAAAAGTGTTGCACGCAGCTAAACAAACTGCTAGCTGCAACATCAATCCCCTTCAGCCACACCCTTCCGCCCATTTCCCGCCCCAACTCCTACCAACTATTAGTCGCAAGTTTTTTCTTTTGATTTGGCTTTGTTTATTGTCAGCTCAAAGTTGAAATCCAAAACGAAATTTCTTGCACGGCAGCCAAAAACTTTGTGGCGCAAGAAATTCAAATTGCAATTCGAATTTGTTGCAAGCGCAGCGTGCGGCTTTAAGGTTAAGACATTGCAACAACAGCTGCCACCCATCACGGCAACCCCCCCCCCCCCTCCCCCTCCCCTTTCTCACATTTTGGCATTCGTGCAACAATACGCATAAATAAAAAGTTGGCTGCTGTTTGGGTTCTTTTTAAGTCGGTTGTATTTTGTTCTTGCTGCATCCTTCACTTCAGCGCAGGCGACGAAAGCCAAAACTCGTTATCGTTTAATTCCACCAAGGAGCGCCGAGTCCTTGCCAAAGCGAGTCAAACTATTGGCAGCTGACAGCAGCTAACAGCGGGACAGAGCGTACACTGAGAAGAAAACGAAGTACTTCGTGACGAAATCAAAAATAAACATGGAACAAAAAGTCTTGACTTAAGTTCAAATGGAAGTCCCAAGGGAAAAGTCTTGGTTTTAGTTTAAGATGTTGAATACATTTCTCATTTCTCCTTTCTCACTTCTCAGTTTTTTCTCCAAGTGTAAACCTTTTTGTTTCTTATTTACCCTCTCTCTCTCTCTCTCTCTCGACTCTCTATATTATGCATTCCCTTGCGCTTTTGTTGCAACATTCATGCACAATATTTGCATAATACAGCCTGATTGATGTTTGACTGTTTGGGGGTGGGAGTGTATTACCACATTGGGCGGGGGGGTGGAGAGCGGGAATATGCAGCGGTTGCTATTGGTAATGAAAAGCGGGCCAAGAGATTGGCAAAGAGATTGGCAGCCCACATGCAGCAACTGAGGCAGATGACAACAATTCACAACTTGTAAATATAATGCCAAGCGTCCTACTATTTGCACAGGGCCAACAACAACAAAAGGCTGTTAACTGGCACAAGGCAACATCAGCTGCAACAACAACAACAACAACAAAAACAATTACAACAACAAAAACAACAGCTGCAACTTGGTGGAATCGATGGCCTGCTTGTGCCACACAGCCTCGACTCCGTTTGCCGCTTTCGAGTGCAAATAGTTTTTGGTTTTTACTTATTGTTGCCTACCTTTATACCCCGCCCGTTCCGTATCTAGTTTGGCCCCCTCTCGCATCCGTGCGACCTGCTACAAGCAGCTGGCGCTTAGCCAATTCCAGCATCCACACGGAGCTCTGCCTGGCATTTGGCTGGCATTTTTGTTTACCAACCTTAACAAAGACTTGCCGCATGCCTTCGTATTTTCCTATTTACTCAAATGTTCAAATAAACTTGCCTGCAGCGCCCGCAAAAGGTGTAGAAAAGTCTGACCAAGCACATAAATTATGCAACGATTTATGAAAATTTAGAACCTCTTCCGAGGGCTGTGAATATAAACAGTTGTGAAGTAGCTCTTAATTTGACAACGATAGCAAAAAGTTTTGCTTTGTGAACCAATAATCGAAAGATTCGAAAGAAAGGTCTCTTCGATTGAATAAATTCGGCGGACACTTTATCCGAGTTATGGGGGTGGGAAATTTTATCCCATATCTACATATATACGAATCTTGGAGTAAGATTTTATCATGAATTTCGACTAAAAAATGCGTGTTCAGATTTGAATGCCAGATCAATCTAGAGGGAAAACCATGAACAAAAAACCAATCCTTATGAAAATCACTTCAGTTTTGACTGAGTTATGGGGGTGGGAAATTTTGACCCATGTCTATATACGAATCTTGGGGTAAGATTCTAACATGAATTTTGACTAAAAAATGTGTGTTCAGATTTGAATGCCAGATCAATCTAGAGGGAAAACCATGAACAAAAAACCAATCCTTATGAAAATCGCTTCAGTTTTGACCGAGTTATGGGGATGGGAAATTTTGACCAATGTATATATACGAATCTTGGGGTAAGATTTTGACATGAATTTCGACTAAAAAATGTGTGTTCAGATTTGAATGCCAGATTAATCTTGAGGGAAAACCATTAACAAAAAACCAAACCTCATAAAAATCCTTTGAGTTTTGACCGAGTTATGGGGATGGGAAATTATATCCCATGTCTATATACGAATCTTGGAGTAAGATTTCGACATGAATTTCGACTGAAAAATGTGTGTTCAGATTTTAATGCCAGATTAATCTTGAGGGAAAACCATGAACAAAATACAAAACCTCATGAAAATCGCTTGAGTTTTGACCGAGTTACGGGGGTGGGAAATTTTGACCAATACGAATCTTGGGGTAAGATTTTAACATGAATTTCGACTAAAATATATGTGTTCAGATTTGAATGCCAGATTAATCTAGAGGGAAAACCATGAACAAAAAACCAATCCTTATGAAAATCGGGTGAGTTTGATTGAGTTATGGGCGTGGGAAATTTCGACCTATGCCTATATAGGATAGTTAAGGGTATCATTTTCATATGAATTTTGACCAGGAATAATGTTGCCAGATTTAGATGCCTAATTGATTAAGAGGAGTAGGAATAAGCAAAGACCCAAGGCTCCATCAACTTTTGCCGTTCCGTGAAACCTTTCCACAGGTTATCTCAAGCATTTCCACAATCTTCCATATGATCCGTGCCCGTAAATAAATATTTGAAAATGTGATCGTAGGAGGCGGCAATTTTGTAGCTCATGGCGAGCAATACGAAAATGCTCAGTTGCCTTCCACACTTCGAAACAAATATACTTGTTTTTTACGTTTAAACTTTTTTTTATGCTTTTATAAATCTTTAGTAACTTTTTGATAAAAACAAAAAAGACGAGGACGTGTGAACGAGAAATTCTTGAGAGATGAGTGTATTTTCCTCTGAGGAAACCGTTTCGGGGGATTCCCTATTGCCTCCCGGCGACAGTAAACTCGACGCTGGCTTGGCGCAAATCGATGCCTGTAATTTCGATACGGTAAATGAGGCGAAGCTTTGGCGAGGAGGTCGTTCTTAATTTATTCCCATTGCCCCCGGCCCACAGCATCCGATGTTAGTGTATACGATTGACGACAACATTCCCAGCTGCAGCGCCGTTTGTTGCGTGGAATGCGCCGAGACCGAAAACCTTGACGCCTGCTGCAAGCCGAAACGCAAGCGGCCATGTTGCCCCAAGCCCTGTCCAAAGCCCTGCCCGCGTCCTAGGCGCAGGTGCAAGCCGAAGGTGTGCTGTAAGCCGAGGCCCGCATGCAAGCGCAAGCCAAAGAAATGCTGCAAACCGAGGAAGAAGCCATGCTGCCCCAAACGAAAGCCTCGTTGCTGCCCCAAGCGTAGCTAAATGCAACCAATTTGGCAGCGGGATTTGGGATCTGCCAATGCCTCGGCTCTGTAGGCATGTATCTATATATGTATTGTGCACATGTGCTTGGAGCAAATAATGGGAATTGGCATTTTAATTTTGTGATGTGTGTGAATTATAACAAGTGGTAAACCAAATTTCAAATACCTTTTGCTTTAAATTGGAATGATCAAAAACAAGGTGGAAGTAGAGAAAGTAAGCTACTTACCAAATAGCATGCATGAAACGATCTCGTATATCGTTGGCGTTCGGGTGAGAATTTCCGTAGAAAGGTTTACCATAACCTGAAAATAATTTGTATAATATATATATAATATATAATATATGTGAATGTCTAGCAATAGGTTCATCTAAAAGGATTATTTTAGTTAATATTTCTGTCCATTTTTAAAAATGTAAAGATTTTCAAGGCTTTGCGGAACAGGACTTAGTTCTCTTTTACTTCTAATTAATTTCTATGATACTTTTTTCGACATTTATTTATTAATTTATGCATCCATAACAGAATACAAAGTAATCCAAAGAGAATACATTGATAGACGTTGATAAGCTTATATAAAGGACTATATTATCATAGCTCGAGTAGATTCAAATTAAAGAAAAAATGACAATGAGATAATTTATGTAATATAACAATATTCCAGATAAGTTAAATTGGCATTACTTTGTCGTTTTTCGGAGACCCCATTAGTTAAGCGCATTTCTGCAAGCCAAGTTACGAACAATTTCATTTTCACCCATTTTCCACGCATTTCTTATTACACATATTCTGGGGTGCCCAAGATGCAAAACACATTTTCATTAGTGCCGTTTAGTCTAATGAGTTGAACTTTTGGCACATTAGAGCAAAGCTGCTGACCCCCTGAGGCAAAACCTTTGCCCTCATATAAAGTCAGATGCCTGACTGCTTGTCAAGCATTTAGGTGCTCTCAATCTCTCTCGTTTTCCCCTCTCACTCTCCGACTCTCCCCTCTCTTCACACATTACCCGCGCTGAGCAAATGCCTCACTTTCGTGGGGACTTATTAAATGCACTCGAGCGAAACATCAAAGTTGCCTCGATTTGTAGCTGCCTCATTCGCTTCCGCATCGTTTGGGAACCGACTCTGGGGCTCCTGATGTTTATTAAATAGCTGCACGTCGTGTGTCTGTCGGTTGTAGGGGAAGGGGGAGGGAGGTAGGTGGGGGGATCGGTTTATTTGCTTACGGGTTGGATGTTTAGGGTTTGGGTTAAGGTCTTAGTGCATCGCTGCAATTCGTGCCATATTTCAATTTAAACATTGCCATTCCGACAGCTGCAACTGTTTTGGTCTTTGCCCCTTGGACTTTTCGGATGCCTTTCCTTCCCTTCCGTTCTTTTTTCCTATTTTTTCAATGTTGCATCTCTTCATCTCTTTGTGGGGCTAATAGAATGTCAGAACTGGTGCGCTGCGTTGCCATGGCAGCCTTTGATGCGGCGATATTGAAATGAAAGCCAAACAAATGTCACGCTTTTAAACTCTCTCTGAGCCCCGCCCAACCTCCGCCCCCCCCCCCCCCCAATCCTCCCTTTGCCTTTCGCGACTGTTGATTTTAAGAGCAAAATTGCAAATTGCAAAAAATTGCGCGTTTGAAAAAATTGCGTATACGTCGCTACGTAATACCTAAAAACGTAACAGCGCGTTACGACAATTTACATTTATTGCCAACCATTTCGACCGCATAAAGCGTGCCCAGGGGCGGGTCTATGGGCCGGGGCGTGGCTGCTTGTAATGGCAGCCAGCTTCTATTATATTGTTAAGCTGACATTGGCCCCAGTTGTTATTGTTGTTGTTGCCGTCGTTTGTTTGTCTGTTTGTTGTTGTTGTTGCTGTTGTTGTTGTGGCATACACAAACGCTTGGCATGAATTATGGATGGCAGCAAAACGAAACGAAATGGCAAGGATGCGAAAGGAATACGGCACACAAGAGCAGATAAGCCTGTCAACGGGTTGAGAGTTGCCAATTTATTGGTTCATTGTTGGTTTTAAGGGTATTGCAAACATTTTGCACAGCCACAAAACCGACTCTGGTTGCCCTTGAAGAGCATATCGAGCAGGTTGATGAGTGCGATTTGGCAATATTTTGAATTTACAATATTTTGTATAAAGTTATTTGAAATTACCTTTCAATCAAATAAGTAATGTAAGTCTTAATCGCTTTACCCACACAGTAAAAGAGTGTTGTACAACTGCCAAATATAATCCCCTTTTTGGGTTTATCGCAATAACCAGTTAATTACTTGTTAAATTACTTAGAGGGTTCGCTTCAAAACCCATTAAAATTTTGAAGATTTAAACTTTGGAATAAAAAGACAACGGCCACGCTAAACCTTTAAATTGTGAGTCTATTAACTGCTAAAGCTTAGCTTTAATTTAGGCTCTACTTGGAGACATCCTAAAACTCTGTTCACATAGGTACAGTGATCGCTCGTTTATGTGAACCTGCATTAGCATTTGATGGTAGACTCATTTATACAACCTATCTACCAAGAACTGCTCCTATATAATTAAATATAAATTTTACCTTTTATGAAATAATAATTATATGCAATTTAGAATCAGCTTTTGATGACTTCACATTGAGCGACGCCTGTATCTACTTTTGTAATTCGGTTTAATGTATATCCTTGCCTCTGGAGAGTCTCACTATGCCCAGAGTTTACCTGTACTTTAGCTCTAGACTATAGAGAATTTGCTCGTCAGTCAACTGTCACAGTTTTTACTCTTAATGCTTTGTGCTTATTTTGCCCTCACCCCTTACCCTGTGCAAAGACATTAACCCAACTCACTTTCGCATTATGAATTTTCAACGAGGCGATGAGACAAAATTTATGAGGTTTACAAATCATTTTCCAGGCGCAAAATTGTTGCAATGCGGACACAAAAGCTGTTAATTATTTTGTAGCCTATTAACAAAGGCAGGATATCAAGAATTTTGCCAGGCTAATGGCTTTCTCGCGCGCTCTCTCTCTCTCTCTCCTCTCTCTCTCTCTCTCTCTCTCTCTCTCTCTCTCTCGCTCTCTCACTCTCTCTCGCTCTGCTGTAGGTTCTGCATATGCGTTACATCTCAGAGACAACTGCACTCGACACTTTGGCGCAACAATTTTCGAACTGTTGCAGTTGTTGCATAGTTTCTAGGCCATAACGGACCCCCCCACCCCCTCCCCCTTCTCAAGCAGCAAACCAACTTGCAGCTAAGCCGCCTGGCGCCATTTAGAAGGCACATTAATCAATTTAGCCGTCAGCAGCAGGAGCAGCCAGAGCAGCCGGAGCAGCAGAAGCTGGCGCAGGAGCTGGAACAGCAGCCAAGCGAAACCGAAAGCTGCCTCCGTGTGCAAAACTCTGGCGTTCATTCGTTCATGTAAATTATAACGCCGTCGTCTGTACGTTTTTTTTGCTGTCCGGTCTACAGCCAAGGATTCCTGCTCTTTCCCCCCCCCCCCCCCCCTCCCCTTCAGACCACTCTCGTGTTTAGTTTTGTGGTGCATTTTTTGTTGGCTCTCTGGCGCCAGTTAAAAACTTAATTAAAACCATAACAAAGCAAAGCCAGCAAACATTTTGCTGCCAAACTTGGCAGCTCATCCGACTATTTCTTGGCGCCCAACGTGCGCGCCCCGAGTTCTTTAAAGTGCACCACAAATAGCAAAACATTTTCATTTACACACATGTTTGGCATTTAGATGCAATTAAAGCCACGAGACTGAAAACGGATATGGCAACAAAAAAAAACAGAAAAAATGGAAAAGAAATCTTATAAATTCCGAACGCGCAGCTCAGTTACTGAGCTAAGTTGCGAGCTAAGCGGATGGGATGGCGTGGGGTGAGATGGGGTCGTGTCATTGCATCTTTTGTGCATTTGAAATTTAATTAACACGCACACACACACACTCACACACACACGCAGACAGCAACAATGAGTTACGGACGGAGCAGCAAAAAACGGCAGCGAGCAAAACTAATAAAAACTCATTTCAAAGAGTTTTTGATGAGGCAAACGACACAAGAAGTGGACACAGGACCAACAAGAAGCGAGCAGCAATGAAGGAGGGAGATGGAGAGGGGGAGGGGGAGTGGAGGGGGGGCTAACACTAGACAGGACTACAGAGCTTCCGGTCTGGCTGGCTGCTAATTCAGCGCCTGTTGCTATTGTCGGGGCCAAAAGGATGCAGCAGGACAACATGCAGCTGGAGCTGCAACAGGATGCTGCCCGCCAGCTTTTGTCTCAGCTGTTACAATATTTTGCCACCCTCCATCCCACCCCATTCCCTTTTCGTTGTTGTTGTTGTTGTTGTACTTGCCAACTACAACTTTTGCTCTAATGAATGTCAACTTTGGCTGTAAGTGTTGACAGTGCCACAGTATCCTGTCCCACATCCCTTGTTGAGAATCCTTGTTCAAAACTTTTGAGCTGCCTGCCATTTTTAAACAGCTGCAGGCTTTCTTCTTCCTGTTGTTGTTGGCCAACCGAAATTAATCAGGCGAAAAGTTGTTGGTCAAAAAGTTGTATGGCCAATTATGACAGCGATTTAGATAGTCGCATTTTTATAGAGCGCATATTAATTGAATTCCTATAACATATTCACTTTTATGGCCAAAAATAAACGACAAAAGCCAATAAAAACGGGCCTTTATCGAGAAAATCTACCAAAATATATTAAAAACAAATAAATACTTTGTCAGCAACAGTAACCGACTGCGCAATACTCTGGGCGAAATGTGAAATAGACAAGGAATTTGGATAAAAAACTTGCCACTCGACTTTTACTATTCATTTTGTGAACAGAGCGTAAAAATATTGTTTGCCAGACTTTTTCCGCAAAACTGTAAATATGACGAAGTGTAGAGGAAAACGTCAGCGATGAGCTACAGATAAAAATACAATTTCGGGGAAATTGAGGGAAATTGCAAAAACCAAAGCAAAGTTAATAAACGAACGACTCAAATGTCATCGAGTCCGGCTTAAGGACACATTAAAGCATTAAATTAAACGTAAATCAAACAACTAATTCGCTGAGCTCAAGTTGCCGCATTTTGTGGAAAGGGCCCACTGCCACGCCCCTCAAAGAAGCCACCAACTGTTCAAAGTTAAATCGACTTTCATTATTTATACGCT